TACAGCATGCACTTTGTTTAAGCATTAGATATTTGGGATCAGATGAAAGTTATACAAGCTCAGTGGGTATAGCAATAATAAGACATGTGAAACTGCTTTAAAGTAAATAAAACAGTCTGATAATCTATCATAATCACAAAAACAATCGGAAGGATTTAAGAAGCAAGTGAATTACTGTATTGATTTCAGATAATTCAGATAATTCTTGGTAAAAAGAAACATTTTATTTTATCGCTAGTATGTTTTCTAGTGAATTAACACTACTAGTAAAAGGTAAAATTTTTAGAATAAAATTTGTAATTTGAAAAACAAGCAGCATTGGCGGCCATTCACTCATTGGCATCAATGCTCTCACACAGTTCTCACACCCGTCCACCAGGCGGCGCATTTGGAAAATGTTCAGAAAAGCCTCAGGTAAAGTTCAATGCAAATCCAGGAACAAGTTTGGCTAAAACCCGACCTTCCAGAAACAATTTACTGTCACTTCCTTTTTTGTGGCGAAGGATGGGCGAGATCTTCCTGTAAGGTTTCAAACATCTCATGTTTGATTATCAACAGTTTTTGGATGCAGTTTCAGTCTTATTTCACATACAGAGAGAATCATGACCAACAAGCCAACAAGCTTCAGTATTTTCTCAGAGTGGGCGTGGCTTCAGTGATGTCACTGTCTTGGGTTCGTATCCTATGGCATTAATCAAATAATAAATGAAAGTTTTTATTGTTTGGCTTTCTCTTTACAATTTTTCATTGTTTTTATATTTTTGTGCTTTCTATAAAATGTCAGACTTCTCACCGACAATTTCCAAAGTTCAGTGACCGTGAATTGGAGGCAGTGAAGCAGGCTGCACAGCTTGCTTGTGAATGTATAATCAGCATGTTGTGTTGTTGTTGATTAGTAAATTGGTAGCTAATTCTAAAAAGTATTGTGCTTGGAAGCTTGTGTATGAGGTTGTGTATTTACTATTAAGTAGGTTTTATAGGTTGAATTGGGTTAATTATTTTTTGGATTGAAAAATATTTTTAAATCTAAAATAGTAATAGATTTTTATAAGGCATTAGGAACAATTAATAAACCAAGGAATTAGTGCACAAGGGGATTTTGGCTAAGCATGTCATTAAGGTCTCAGTAAAGTATTAAGTTGTTTATTTTTATTATTTATTTGAAATCTAAAACTAATTAAGGGTGTGTTCAGTTCATTTGTTGTCAAGACCTGCTTGTATTCAATTTTTCTAACGCTTGTGATATTAATGCATGACCACAACCTTTAAATAGCTAATATATTCCATACATCATATGAAGTGTAGTTTATTTCACTTTATTCATAACAGGTGCATTTATTTTCTGTGTCAAACTTTGAGATATCTTTAGATGTTTTGTCTGTTTTAAACTATTAATTTGTTCACATACAGATTATCAGTATGCACGACAAAGCATTTCGAGAGATGGAATAGTCTCTAGCCGTTTTATACGATTTTTTAATTTATGATGGTTATCAGTTTAGAATGTGTTAATGGTAAAATATGTTTAACAGTGACTTTTTTTTTATTATTTACACTACCTTTGCACTGACAGTGCAGCCTCCAGAGAGAACATTTTTTAAAAATGCTGCGACTCTTTCAAAGTCGCACTTGAGGCTGTTGCCAAGAAGGAGCGCCAGATGAATGCACTGGAAAAGAAGACTCATTTTCTACAGGATCAACTGAGCAGAAATAAAAAAAGTGGGTGCCAGCACAAGACAAAACTGAAAGTCTTACATTTACAGCAGCACTTTATGGTGATGGTAGGTATATAAATAGTATACGATGTTGATTGTAACTTTTATTTATTTCTTATAGGTTAATTAAAAGGTGATTTAATTGAATATTATGTGGTGCTTTTAGTGTGTACACAAAGTATTCCTTGCTCTTGGATGGTTTGTTGTTCTCCTATTTGATTTTACAATAGTTTTTGACAAAAATTAACTTTTTGTCAAAAGTAAATTTGTCAATTACTTTTGACAAAACAATTACATTAGTTTAGGAGATATAATGATTGTATAAATATTCATCCCCTGTTGCCCTGTCCAGAGAGGACATTTGTAAAAGATTTAGAGAGGCTTTTAAGACAATGGGGTCCATCAGACCCCATTGTCTTATGCCAGGGAAGGCATGTTTGTGTTGTGTTAGAGGCTGTTACAGAGTTGAAAAAAAACAGATCAACATGATTAAAAAGTGTTATTTCGTAAATAATTAATGTATTTTTCTCATATTTCTTTTATTTAGGATAAAGCATATCAATGTCGAACGTATCCAGGTGTTAGAATGGCCAAGTCAAAGTCTAGACCTAAAGCCTATTGAGAATCTGTGGAAAGAGCCGAAAACTGCTGTTCACAAGCGCTCGCCGCCCAACCTCACTGAGCTCGAGCTGTTTTGCAAGGAAGAATGGGTAAGAATTTCAGTCTCCTCATAAAAACACAATTGCCTGTGTGGGTGGGCGTGTGATAACAAATCTACCAAAGTTAGTATTAGTAACACAACAGTAGATAATCTTCGCAACATCGGCGGGGTTCACGTGACCCACAAGGCAGCATTGACTGTGTCGCTTCAGCTTCACATGCACAAGGGTTAAACTGACACTCGAGGATCTTGTGAAGAAGGAGCGCCAGGTCAAGGCCAAGAAGAAGAATCTTCATTTTCTGCAGGGTCAACTCAGGGGAACAGAACAAAAATTGGTGGCAGCAGAAGAGAAAATAGAACATCTTAAATGTACAGAAGCATTTTATGCTGATGGTACGTATATAAATAGTATATCATGTTGAATATAAGTTTTATTTGTTAATTCCCACAAGATTTAATGGAAAATCAAGAGGTAAAAGAAAAAAAAAGAAAAACCCTCAAATGTCAAAGTGATCTTTACAAAATGACAGTTGCATTAATTTAGGAGATATAAATTAATGATTGCATAAATATTCACCCCCTTTAAGTCAGCATATAGTAGCTACCCCTTCATACATTAAGGTACATGTGACAAGTTCTTTTCTGAAATGAAGTATTTTTTTTTTAACAACAGTAGCCAGTCAATTCCAACAGACTGTGCTCCAAAAAATAAGTTTGTCTTGAAGACGCTTAAATTGGTTCTTCGTCTGTGCATGAAGCAGGCCACAGTTCAAACGCACTCCAAAAATGTTTCTGACCTCCACCGGGGATTGAAAGTAAACCTCTAAAAACTGGATTGTAAGTCTATTAAAAAAGTAAATTTCCAGTTTCCACATTACATCTGATTCTGGCTCATGAGGCATCTCATAGGCAAAGTGCCTTTTTGTGGTTCGCAGCCTGTTGTGATTCGGCAGTGCTTTAATGTTCATTTGTTCACGTTTTGCTGAGGTCTGAGAATCTTTAAAACTAGCTGCCCGGAACTGATTACATTTTCTTTGCTTTCCGGAATTAGAGCCACTGCAACATAAAGCTGCATGATGGCTGACTGAAATAGTTGCTTGTGTTAATCTAGGGGAGAATGTCACACCAAACCACACACAGTAAATATCAATGACCAGATTTCTTTCAGAAAGTAAGTGGGTCTCAACTTTTACTGTGGAGTTATTTACCTGACTTCTAATATGCCTTCTCTCAATATACTGGCCTTGCAGAAACTTAATTTAGCTATCAAGCAAGCTAAACACCTCCACACAATAAATCATGACACCCAGTCGAACTTGAGTCTTTATAATGTGAATGGTATGAAACTGAAATACAGACACAGAGAATCACAAATACATGGTAGATTCAGTACATTAAATATAAGCATATTTGAATTAAAGTATTTAACCTAAACTGCCTGCTAGCATTATGCATAAAACATCAATGTGACATTTAAAGTATTTAATGCCTTGTCATTAAAAAATGAACCACAAGGTTGCATGAGATGATGAACCCACATGTCACTGCAGCCTTCTTGCTGATTTTCCTGGGTTTCTTCCACTTGTGGTTACAAGTGTTTCTGATCATTTCTGGCAGTCTTAAAGGGACAGCAGTTATTGTAGGATGAAATCCCAAAACACTCACTAAACTGTCCCGTGGTGTTCATCTTGAAGACTTGAGTGTGATGTTAATATGTTTTCTTCAAGATGGCCCACCTTTGAGTGGAATTAAAGAACAGTTTACCTTTTTTCAATTTTCCAAAAAAGGTAAGTGGCATCCAAGAACACATTTGCAACATCTGAAACCATTCGATCGCAGCTACAGGCTCCTTCAAACGACATTTTTCTCTTTGAAAGCATTGTTCATACGCCTTTATTTGCACCAGTCATGTTTGCACCATTGTCATAACATTCGCGAAGATTTAAAACAGACATCTGTACTTGATGACTCACATTTTATTTGTTGCAAAATATGTGGAATATTTTAATTCTGACACCACCATCTCCAGTACTTTATCACTTATATAGCCTATCAGCTCAATTTGTATTGTTTTCCCAAAATATGTGATATGCTGTGATCCACTATCAATGCGTCTCACTTGATCTCTCAGCTATCAGTTCCTCTTTTGAAAAGTTCCCATTGTTAGCCTGATGTAACAGATCCCCAAAGTGTCAGGTTCCTTCTGTCAGTGATTGAATAATACTCATTAAGTGTGTGAGAATGTTACTCCAATGATTCTTTTCTGCCTCCCGGAGGCCCACTGCAGACTCATCAATAGTGTTACCCTTGGAAAGTTGCAAAACAAATTCTTTACATTTTACCGTAATACTACAATGATTGTCACAATTTTCATGATGCTCTAGCAGTGCCCCTATGGCAACTCAATTGCATTGTCCATCGGTTGCCAGTTTTGAGGACCTTTGGGAACATAATTTGCATCAAAAGTAATAGACTACATCTGTAATTCTTTAATAAATCATCCAACTTGGCCTGACTTTTCCGCTTGACTAACTGTGTGTATGCATGGCGATAGTTAAAACTTCACCTGTCAGACCGTTTGGTGAAGAAAAACACTAACTCTAAAGCAGTGTCCCTGTGATTACCTGCTCAGTCCTGTCTAACGCTGACAGGGAAGATGGCCACTCAGTTGGGTGTAGCAGATGATGATCCATGGTGTGCAGGGTGCATTGGCATGGAGGCTTCTGAGGAAGAGATTAAAGAAACATAATGACCAATGGCACAAAATGTTTTGCTCCACTTTCAGCGTGACAAATGGGGCAGAACTAAAGTGCATGTAAAAAGATGGTGCGGCTTGTAAAGCAGGATTTGTATTTGCATCAGCAGTTTCGTGTAGTTCCAATCACTGACTTGTTTACTTGCTAAGGAGTTTGAATTACTTTTTCTCCAAATGTACTGGCCTGAGTGGAGCACAAATATTAGAGCAGTATTTTGTCATTTGTAGAGTGAGTTATGTCCGTGTTGAAGAAGTTCTGACGGTTTCACAGTAGTTTATTATTTGTGATACAGAAATACTCACTTTTTTCCAATACAGGTATGTGGATTTGTTTGGCACCATTTATTTTGGATCTTCTGGGACAAAATTGCACATAAGATTGTTTTAAAGTGTGACTCAAAGAATACAATTTGTGTCTTGTATTTAAGAAATTCTAGCGGTGTGTCATGATTCATGATGAACGAAATAAAAACGAGCCAAAAAGCAAACAGCAGCGTGGCATTTCATATATTTATTTTAATACTGAAACTTGACAGGTTGTAGGCATTCACCAAGTTACAGACATACAAAAACCCGCACCAGACAAAGACATGACTCGAGCTCAAATACTATGGGAAACAGGTGAGGCGAGGGGAATAACTGACCAAGAGACACAGGTTAAAAACATGAGCTACATTAATTGAAAGGAGACTGAGCTGGAGAACCAATTACCAAGAAAACAAGAAATGAAACATGACATCTGAAAGACAACTGAACCTAAAGAACATAAATCCTCACTACACCACCCTAAAATACTAACATATTGACAAGGTTTGTATTTGTTAAAGATTTAAAAACAATCTTCAATTACAAAACTCCAATATGATTTCTCTCTCTGACTTTTACTTCTCAGTTTTGCGAAGCACATATACTTCTGCACAAACATTCCCTCCTGACATTTAGCAAGACGTTACCTAGCCTGATGTAAACTGGCAAAAGTAAAAAATTGGGAAGTTTTAATTATGTTACACATCAGGAAAAAAATGCTTTTCTGAAGCCAAAAGGGCCAAAATATACAGGGGCGACCACAATAATCAACTAATTTCAAGTTAAAGATCGGTTTTAGACAAATATATACATTCGAGCAGTAATATTTTGCTGTTTAACAACAGCTAATTAGCAAGCTAATGTTCTATTAGCAGCTACACAAAATGTTATGATAAACATGATATTACCACGTGACTAGAAGACATACCTTTGGCTTGTTTTTGTATCCCCAAAATTGCATCTTCTTTTCTTCTATCGCCGAAGGATTTGTCCTTTTTCATGACATTGTCTAGGCTACATTGTAAGTGTGGATGCGCAGTGCGCACTGAGCATAGCATGGCAGGAAGTTAGTAATGTCGTTGCGTAACTTATCGCGGGCACTAGGGGGCAACAACACCTTTTTTTTTTTTTTTTTTTTTTTAATTTTAAATAAAATTGGGTGTCTAAGTGGGTTAATTTTCACGACAAAACAAAAGCTTCCTTGATGTGTTCTGATTATATTTGTGACAGTCTATTTTCTTGTGGGAAATTTCCACTAGTATAGAGACAAACATGTGTAGGGTATAGCGTTATGCATATTAATGTCTAATCATCAGAGTTGATAGTTCCAACTAGATGTCTGCTATTGAGGAGTGATTAGTGCTGATTAAAAATCAGAGACAATACTGAAGACAAACTCCTTATCGTCTTATCAGTGGAGCTTTAATATGTCACACAGAAGTCAAACAATGGCCAAGTTTTCACACAGCTACTAAAGAAATATTTAGTAGCTGTGTGAAAACAAATGTAGACACATTGTTCAAACTTGATAAGTTACTGCAGAACATTTAAAATAGCCATAAATGTTACTGAACGATGTACAGTAGACCCAATGTTCACTTATTAAAAAAAATTAAAGACAAAGCCTAGTACTCATACCACATATATTTTGCAAAACATTTCTGTTATGGTAGCAATTTGTCTTCCTTAAAGATGCTAACAGTATTTCTAAATACATACGCTTCACAAAGCAATAGAAGAGACACAAAGACATGAAGTTATAAAAAATTAATCAGAAAGTTAAAAAAATGAAGTATTATATAAATCTACATTGTCAAAGAAATGTGGCGAGACACCTCTTATGTGCAGCTTCTTGGGGGGAAAGAAAAGTTAGCAGCTATAAATGTAATCCAACATAAGACACCACTCAGCACAATGAGCCATATCCATATGAGCTTTGAAGAAGGTTCTTGTCCACTGACTACAAAATGAACTGTGCATTCAAAGCATAAAAAGCAATTTATACCAAGCATACAGGAATAATATCACTTAAGTTATCAAGAGTTGTAGGAAAATATGAAGTCTCCACATAAGCTCAACTCGTTAATCTATCATAGTCATGACTTATAACAATGCTACAGACAGGACAGAGGCTGTAAAGCTGTCGGCTACTGTGAGTGGTATGTCATAAACTACATCAACCATTTAAGGTTACTTCTGATGTAGTAACACATCAGTAAAGCTGTGTGTCCCAAGTATATCTAATCACATCCGTCACATAACAACATCAGACAAAAATGTATTTTGACATTCAAAAAGATAATATGAATGTTTTTGTCTATGATGCAAGCAATCATTCTGTAGCAGATTATTTCAAGCTGTAAACCCTAAAAGCTTGTTACATTATGGGTGAAATATTTGGGTAGTTGCCTTACAGGCTTTAGGTTCCAGGAGTACTTAGCTGAATTGTTCTCATTGTGGGTTAATTACTTGGTTTAATCTAGAGGTTCTTTGGCTCCTGGTGCATTTTCATTAACACCAATTTTAAATTCTTATTTTGTTTTAGGTGGTATTTAAACATGGCCCATTTAAACAAAAGACTTGTTAACTGTATCTTAAAAAGCCATTAGTACAGTCTGTTGGTGACTAAAGTCCAGGCAAGTGAAATCCATCTATTTAGATAGAAGACAGAGACAGTCAGCTGTTTTTGCATTTGTGGGGCTTCTGTTTTTGCAAGCTGTCAGTTTAAGTTTGTTCAACCCTTTCATGCAATAATGTGCTTCATTTTGGGGGTTTTATAGCAGCCTTTTCAGGCTCAAACAACTGTGAAAAACTTCAATCCTTTATGTCGCATATGTTGCATGTTTATTAGGATGAAGGACCTAGTCATCCTAATAAAAGTTCTTGTTTTTTTCATTATTTTTTTCCAATACTTAAAAGTTGTTTGACTGTGTTGGACTGACAGTTCAACTCTGTATTCACAGTTCACTGAAATGAAAAATTATTCAGAAGACAAGGCCATGCTCACTGTCGCATGAACCCTCCTGAAGCATTCCACATATCTTGGCGACTGAATCTTCATCAGCATCTTCATAGATGAAATCAAACATCTGGGTTCTGTGCCCTTGGGCAGTGTCCACGGAGAAAGTAAACTTTACACTAAACGTTAGTCATTGCAACTTCAGGGCTGTTTTGTGCAATGAAAGCTAAAAATGATCAAGCTAAAGTGTTTGCTTGACAAGTTAAGCAACACAATGTCGCTTTTGTAAGTTGATTTCCAACAGTATTGTGAAAATCATTGACATAATGAGGCAGAAGGTCTGTCACTTCAGCTTGCCTTTTTTTGTAATTTACACACTGTAGAATTCAAAACATTAAGGAAAAACTTGATGCTTCTTAAAGTGTAAGCTGTGATTATATAACATTAAATCTGTATGAATCTTGCATTAATAAAGTGTAGATCATGTAGTAAATTTTGGAATGGACTGAACAAGAGTCTGATGTAAGTAAGGATTAGTATGTCCAAGGTCTTACTGATGACATATGAAGTGAAAACTATGGGCTACATCTTTACTGGTTGCATGAATTTTCTTTCATGGTACAGTAACCAAGCAAGATGCTTTCCCCAAAGCGGGAATCCTATTAAATAAAAAAACGACTTTGTATAATCTGTGATGTATTCCTTTGTGTTTGAGGTTACATTTGACAAATTTTAAAAATGGCACATCTTAAACTTATATCAAAATGTTATTTATCATAAAATATATTGTTTTTACAATCATTGCATTTTTTTAAGCATACAGGCAGCAGAAAAGCCATGAGACTAACTGCACACAGTTTACACATCCCTCACATCATTATGAAAGTGCTGCAATTAGAAGCAATTGGAGTTTATCAGTTTCCAGGTGTTGCTAAGACATTTTCAAAGGCTTCAGAGTTATGCTCTGCTCGCCATTAACAGACACATCCATATGCTTGCTCTGAATGGCTGCTGTCTCTGTTTTTTTTTTGTTGTTGTTGTTGTAATTATTTGATTTCTGCTTTGGGGCTGGCAGAGAAGCATTGCAGCTGAAACCATTTTGGTGACTTTTGTTTAACTTTTCTTATTTGAAACAGGCAAGTGATTTATAGTTGAACAAATAAAACTATTATCCAACAAAATAATACCCACATATAAATGTAAATGCTTTTATTTTTATTACCATTGAAGCAGTAAAGTCATTATGTCATAATTATAAAACTGAGTCAATTTATTGACTAACAAAATTCTGTTATTTTTTATTAATTGTACCTATTTTCTTAGCTGTAGTATTTATCATTACTAATTAAAGTAAAATTAAAGACATTAAAACTTACCTGTGCAAACAAACAAAGCAGGAATGTTTTGTTCTGACAATCTGAAAGGATAAACATTACTTGCAGAGTTATTAACAAATACATTAAAAAAAAAAGCTAGATATGCCACATATCAGCATTTCCCCTACAATTATCCCAGGGGGGTACCCCGCCCCGCCATCGAGACCTCTGGCCCCCACACACAGCATGTAGTAATTGAAGGTGTTTCACAGTTAATATTGTTGATGTTGGTAGTCAAACTAAGCACCACAAGGTTCAGTCGTGAGCTATTTCTGTCCCTACGATGAATTGTCTATTCATAGCGCTCTTTCAAGCTCATTTTGCAATAGACACCTTGAACTGTGTGTGACGTTGTGCCGCCGAGCCACATTTGCGCTTCCTCACTGCAAACTTTCAAAAGCGGCAAAGGCAGAGAGCCCAACACGCTGCTGAGTTGGGTGCTCTCGTACGCGGGTCAAAACATGCTCCCGCCAGCAGACAGAAAAACATAAAAACAACTGGTAAAGATATCTGCATCTTTTAAACGTACCAAATTTCATTTTCATTCTTGTCAAGAAGGTAGGAAGAGAGATTGGTACTGACAATCTGTGAAACTATTAGAAAAATGAGGAAGAGGAGGATATCCTAGTTTTTTTTTCATTCTTCAGTTAGAAAAGTTCAACCTGAATCAGCAGCTTTAGCTGAATTACTTCATCTGCATTTACTTCAGACTGAAAGAAATGTGAGTGGATGTTGGGATAAAAAATCACAGTAAAACTAGAAGAATAAAAATCAACTATATGCAAAACACCTATAAATAGCTAGAAAAGGAGGCTTAAACAGAGACTTGTCTTTGTCTTCATAAAAACAATTTATTAGAAGTACTTTGGAATTCATTTTGTTTAACAGAACCAAACTGTATTAAACAGCCTGAACATCCTTCAAACTAGATATCTCAAAGCCTCTCTTCATAATTATGTTGTTTTTTGATCAGTCGCTGTTGATAACTCTTTGTATGGAAGACTGTGTCACTATCACCTATGGGAGATACACAACCTGCACAACTGCAACAGACCAATCTGACAAACATATCAGGCGATCTCTACATGGACAGTAAATTATTAAGAGTGGGATGCTGTGAAGTGGGAAAAGAGAATGAAAGGAAACTGCAATAAGGTCTTCATGTCAAGCTAAAGAAAAGAAGAATAAGAAGTCTGTCACAACAGACTTCTTATGTTGTGACTGCAATTTCCCCAAAAAATATCAGATACTGCTTGATGTTTGTTGTAGGTCGTCTTTGTGGGAGTGCTAAATTGATGGTAAGTGCATTTGTCACGCTGAACAAGTACAGACCACCACTGCACAATTCTGACTAAAGCTGCAGTCGCACCATAAATATGGGCAATCTTAGCCTTATTATGTTCAACTTGTCAATAGAAATTCACTTTACTGTTCCTCAAAAGACAGTCTGAAGGTTAGAAAAATTATTGTCCATCTTGCTTCTTGTTCGGTGTTCTTTTCTTTCGCCGTCTCCTTTGCAGAAATAAAGAGAAACTATTCCAAGAATTAAACATTAAGTCTCTCCATAAACAAAAGCAATAAGCTTTAAACCACATCAATTTCACAGAATGAATACTTTGAGAATGTAAATACACAAATTATGACAATTTGACCTGTTTTTTTTTTCATTGTGGCTTGATGCTTTTATTATCAAGTAA